GAGTGACTGTATCTGCGCTAGGAAAAGGAGAGACCGAATGGGATGAGGCCAAAGTTGGAAGAAGACACGAGGCCTGTAACTTCCGTTTGCAGTGATTTTTCTGGTCTGGTAAGTGGTACCACAGACGAATTCACGTCGCGGCGACGAACAAGTACAATACAGTGGATGCTAAAAAGTTCGGGTGTAGTATGTGAACAAGATAAATGGAAAAGGCTAAAGAGATAATGGCCCTTGATATAAAATGAAAAAGGGAAGTTTTAAGTTAGCTTAAAAAATACGCCAGTATTTATACCATGCCAGGCAAAATAAGGAATCCTTAAAGGAAGCCAAACCCTGCTCTTAAAAGGGGAGAAAAGCACAAACAAAATAAACAAACACGCAATGATCCGGTCGATATATACTCGTATTTTCTCCCTTTCATTTCTGCATGAAGGAACGTCACAGATTTGGGTGTTCACGCTACATCGTTTCTGTTGCTAGCTTGCAATTCACCCAGATGATTTTTTTTCAGTAACAATGTCCACCTTAGTTCAAAGTAATTAGAAGAAACACAATACAAGGTACGCACATTGTCCTTTTAAAGCCAGTGGTTCTATATGTGACACCTGATATAACATACTGTTCACGTTTTATGGTCGTGAGTAATAATTACGGGGTTTGGATTGGATGATTGGTTTTATGGATCGCTCCTTTACAATCACTAGTAATCATAAATTACAACAGTTCACAATAAATCTGCAACAAAACCCTTCTTCCTGGACTGGCGAAGACTCTCTCAATTCTGATTCTGATTCTCTTCTGTACTACTAATATAGCCGCGAGGCGGATCCACAGAAAACGCCGCTTTCTCTATTGTATTTATAGTGCCGTTGCATAGCAACGTAAGTTATTCTATTGTTGCCTGCGTATTCGTTGCCGCAGGAAGGTGTTTACCAAGTCATTGCCTAGCAATGGCTCTGAATGTCACAATAATAAAACTCTGCATTCTGCCTACAGAATGTATCTGTATTTATATTGTTCTCACAATAAACAAGGGCCGTCACCCTAAACAGTATTAAGTTGTTGGTCTTTGTAACTGAGACAATTTTTTTCTTGTGAGATAAACATTGAATGTGTATTAATTAGAAAAAATCACTGTCTAGAGAATTGAGATCGCTTCCAAAGTAGTGATGTATCTTAATGGTTTTTCTCAGATACTTCATATAGAGTCTATTTGAAGCTAATGTTTCTCAACGTTTCAAAGCGTTTTCATAAATTATGCATGCCTTTGATTTAGGTTATTACTGTAAGTTAGATAGTTTCTACATGCTAAAGACCTTTTTAATATTTATAGTGTCGTCCTGGAGGACTGTTAACTTCATTCCTTATAATAATTACTACCTTCATTAGTTCCGCTAAAGAATCATACTGTTGTAACATAAATTACGATTTTATGTATATTTTGTTCGTAGTATAATATAACAGTATCGTTTTCGTCTTGCACATAATTGCGTGCTTTAAGACGTTTTACATATTTATAAAAACTTCTTTAATAAGTGGCAGTGCAGCTGCTGCTTCCTCTAGATTTGCTCTACCAAGAATGATGTCCGAAAAGTGGGCGTATTTATTCGTTTGTTCCATTTTCATTTCTAACGCATAAACGTATTTTTAATTTGGTAATCATACTACCTCATAATTTGCGCACATCTGACAGGATAACACTTTCAGTATAATTACTAGCTTAAGAGCTGGAAGAACTTGAATCAGTAGGTTCTATGATAGCTTTTGTGTGAATTTAGAGAAAATATTAATGACACTACCCTTACATCAGAATTTTTCAAAAAATTAAAACAGGATATCCCTTGACTGTTCTTTTAAACATTCAGTTTCAATTCTGATACTATTCTTGTAAATTGGAACCAGATGGTAACATAGTGATATGAGATTTGAGGCTTTCACGGCGGTGACTATGAAGAAAGCAGCCTTCTGGGATTTGGCACCGTGTATATATGGTGTTAACCGACGTTTCGGAGGAACGTATCGCCTCCATCTTCAGGGTATAAGAAAAAATATAAGAAATCTGCAAGCGAAGAGACCGTGAGAACCGGTAAAAGCAGTCTGCAGTATCCAGATGATACTGGATAAAGAATTATAAAGATGTAGAAGAAACCAGCTCGCCTCTAATTTGAGGTAAGTAAAAAGGGTAAAGCTATCCCTGTACCAGGCCGTGAAGGTCCATAGGGTTGTGAGACGTTGAGGGTCCCACACTATCTAGACAATCGGCTCAAAGATGGCGGTTATTATTAATTAATTAATTATTATTTAATTAATTCCTGGTACTCATTTCTGTTAGAGGCTGAGTAAACCCCAGGGCCTAGTGCGGCTGGAAGGATTAGGTTAGCTGAAAAA